GCAAAATCATATTAAGATCGGACCACTATATCATAAAGCTGCCATAGGAACGATCGGTAGAAAAATTTAATTATTGTATGAAAAATCATTTTGTTTTTCAAGATATCTTGACCAAACTCGGCATTTATTAGTTTTACTATACTCCTCATATATAGGCATAATCCTATTAGAAAACTATTTTGTCATTCAAGATATTTTGATTAAACAGGGCATTTAAAGATTTAACTATGGTCCCTTTATTTTTGTAAAATCTTATTACTACTATATCATATATCTGCCATAACAACGATCCGTCGAAAACTAGATTTTTCATTAAAAACCTTTTTTCTTTATCAAGATATCTTGCCCAAACTCGTCATTAACTATTTTCCGCGTGATTCTTAGATACGGGCAAATCAATATAAGCATTATGAAAAGGTTGGGTCTGCAAGGGTATTAGTTATTTCGAATAAAAATACATCATATTTATATCTTATTCTCGTGCTCTCGCTTTTGGACCAGATGTCACCGATTATTGAGTCATCTCTGGTTGTTCTGCATGTCTTATCTATAAGTTGCTTGGTTAGTGATAGTACCTTATGCTATTGGCCGCGTTACTGCGAAATTATAGAATGTGTGAACGGCGTTAAGTAAAAATTCGTGTCGGTCGGGAAAACGTCAATGTAACATTTATCCCGATAGGCGAAGAGAATTTGTGCCCAATTTCCTGCTTCTTCAAATGCCCGACGCTCTTTGCCTGTGCTCAAATTATTCGCTTTCAGGCTACCTCGTAAGCGATTTTTGTCGTCTTCGGAAAGTAGTAACCAGTTTTACACTTTCCCGATCGGGTGTAAGAGCGCAGTTGTGTTCCGCTATTATGATTTCCCTTCTCTTGCTGCTATCGAAGAAGTCGGTACCAATTTTCTTACAGTTCCAAAATCTCGTTGTGGAAAAACTCTTTACCACTCAATATATGATCAGGCAAGTATCGCAGTGAATAGCGTTCATAACACTTGGGCTAACCACTGATTATATCTCCTCGATAAGGGATTCTATATTTGTAAAATTGATAGTGTGGCGAGTTTTTACCGAATAACTCCATTATCTCGAAACTTCTGGCGAACGCCGATTGGCTTATTAGTTAGTATAGTCAATGTTAAATTAAATTATCCAGTCTGAGCTTAGACATCTCCTTTTTTAGGACATGGATGCGCGCGTCGACTTGACCTCTAATCGTGCTATTAAATTAATGACCGCTTGATAGTGACGCAAGATGCCATTGTATCATTCGAAATGTCTGTTCGCGAAATGCGGGGCTACGTTACGCTACGTTTTCCATGTACCAGGGAATTCTAGAAGACACTTTACACTTTGCAGTTACTAATAATTTCACAACTAATGCTCATAATTAATAACAAAGAACTCAAAACACGCTGAGAAAATGTAAATATTCACTAACGATTGAGACCGTGGCCGGAAAAATAATAATGCTTTCAGTTATAAACAAGTAAGAGGTTCAAGTCGGGAGCTCCCGACTAGGGGATACCCTGAACCCCTTTCTTCCAACATCAAGTTTGGTGGCTCTAGTTCTTATTATTTACCAAAATTGCCCAAAAAACCAGAATATCGATATCGATTTTTATCGATTGCTTGGAGATTCCTTGCGTTCTAAGATCCTTGGGTTCATACATATGGACGGACAGACGAAGGGGGACAGATGGACATGGCTAGATCGACTCGGATATTGATCAGGAATATATATATATATGGGGTCGGAGATGCTTCCTTCTGCCTGTTACATACATTTGGATTTTGCAAAATTACAATATACCCTTATACCCATTTTTAATGGGTTCAGGGTAAAAAAAAATGCAATCCTTGAAAAACGTTTTTCGGGTTATCTTTTTGTTTATTTATTTATATTTATTTGGTTGTAAGAAACTTTTTTTTTTCGGAATCAGATATAGCGACTTGTCTTTGGCGATATAAAAGAATGTTGCAGCAAAATTACATGATTGTAAGTTTTACAACTCAATGATAATAATAATGATAATAGAATGATCCACGACCTGTGGTGGTCCCACGCAGCAGTCGGGCTGTTCTATGTTTTTCATTTTATTACCAGAACCCATAGTAAACACGTAATAACGGTAAATTGTTTTTGTGCAAATGAGGCAGAAATAAGCATCTCTGACCCCAGTCAGCTTATATATATATTGTTGATCAATAGCCGAGTTGCTCCAGAGATGTCCACCTGTCTGTCGGAACTTATGAACGCGTCGATTTTAGAACATATACATAGGAGCTGAACTTGAAATTTTTAACGTAGCTCCTCTTATTGCCCTTGCACTACGTTATTACCGATAAGCTTTCGGTAAATATTGAACTTCTATTTTGTGATCAATTATCTTAGGATTAAAGAGCTAGAGTCTCTAAATTTGACAACTTGTTTCTAAAATAGTACATACTGATCAAGTATTTTATATTTTATATCTATTTATAGCTAAGGCAACCCCCTGCAATGAAAGGGAATTAAAAAAATAAATTGGAACTACTTACCAATTTAAGACATAACATTATTGAAATTATCTTCTTGTGAATATAATTATTATGCCACAGCATAATATGATCTACTATTGAAAATTTCATCGAAATCGGCTAAGAAACACTGAAGTTATAAGAGAAAATGTGTGCATACATTGTACATTGACAAGCAATAAATTTCTCAGGGGAAAACGCGTTGACGGGAGTTTTAAGTTTTGTTCGATCGACTCCAAACATATTTGTGAAGCTCTGCTTAAGAAATAATTAAATAAATGTTTCGGCGGTTATTGAAATCTCACAACTGTGGTCACATGAAAGTTTTTGTGTTCCTTCTGATTGGCATCAAAGTCATTTTAAAAGATGTTTGTAAAGATTCATCTAATACGTATTTCACTCTTTACGCAAAATGTTTGGATGTGAAATGTTTCGGATATAAGCTCAATTGCTAGGATGTTAAGAAACTTTATTTTAAAGGTTTTTCACATATTTCCGAATTTCCTTTTTTAGAACGGAACAATAATTGTAAACCAGAACTTCAAGGGTGTTTTCTTTTTGCAAATATATGACTATATTATGGCACAATAAGATTTAAAGAAAACGTGTGGCAAAGTGGTAAGGTCCAGGCCAGCGCAAAGCCCAAGAATTTCGGTATATATTCTTTCCGAACTTTTTAGGCTGTGCTGTAAGAATGTGCTGATATTTTAGTTCATTTTTTCTATAAAAATTCAAATGTTGCAATGGCGATTGGGTATGGTTATTTTGCTCGGTTAATGGGTACGCAATCTTTGATCCAACCAGGTGAAATACATGTTTTTTAAGTGTAGCCTGAGCATTAACTCAAGCGTTTGTGATTGATAAGTTTATATCGGGTTCTGAGCAGGTGAAATCTTACATGACATCTTTGTTATCTATGTAATCTTAGTGAGATCGCTAGTCAGATCATATTTCACTGCTAGTCTACGCTCATGTAGCAGCTTATACTATCTCTCCAGCCTCACATGTCAATGGCTTAAGGAACAGGCTGACATCACTTATTACTGAGGATTCTAGCCGGGAGTTTCCGACTAGGGGATACCCTGAACCCTGTTAATCCAAAACAAAATACAACACGCGCTACGCGCTCGTTTGTGGTATTAATAATAAATTAAAAAAAAAAGTTCCTTTGGCAGGGTTCGAACTCGCAACTAACACCACTACTTGCCGCCGTCTCTACTCAACAGCCACACCAGCCAAAAAAATAAAGTAGCTTCCTCTGTAGGTTTCGGACTGGCGACATACCACGCCATTTGCCACCACCTCTACTCAACAGCCACACCTTGAATTGAGTCTTATTGAGAAAAAAAAAACGAATTAAAATAGCAGCACAGAAAACAATTCAATCGAATTCGAACCAGACACGCATGCATGTGTGTGCGCACATGTATACAGCAATTCTTGGATTTTGCGTCGCAAACACGTTCGCAATCAAAATACCGAAAAACAAACCAAAAACCGATCTTAATGAAATTTTCTACAGTATATCTTATAGTTGCATAGAATATTTGTGTATTCTCAAAAAGTGGGCAATACAAGTTGGGTTATTAACTAGATTTATAGGCGAGGTGGTGATAGGTATAAAATGAAAGATACATGATATATATATATATATATATATAATATTCTGCAGCAACATAACAAGTTTAGTGACTCCAGTTCCAAATATTTACCCAATATGCTCAAAAACAGGATTTTGATATTACGATAAATTCGATTTTTATCGGTGGCTTGAAAACGGAGTAAATTATTGATTATTGGTTCTGCACAGGCACCAGGAGGACCTACACCTAAAATTTCAAGTCTCTAACTCTTATAGGTTCTGATATCCTTGCGTTTATACATACGGACAGACGTACGGAGAGACGAATGGACATGGCTAGATGGACTTGGCTATCGATGCTGATCAATAATAAATATACTTTATGGGGATCGGAGATGATTTCTTCTGAATGTGACATACATTTACATTTTGCACAAATACAACATATCCTTCTTACCCATTTTTAATGGGTTCTGGGTATAAAAAAAATAAACAGGTCACTGAGAAGATTTTTCTGTTGAATGAACATTTTTTTTATATCTATCGGACTTGTCTATTGCGACTCTGTTGTTAATAGTGATCCAGAATATATGTACTTTTAGAGGTCGGATGTAGTTTTGATAAAGTTATTTGCAATTTAATCATGTAAAAATTTTGCAATTTCGCATGAAACACAGTCTTTTTGGAACGGGCTTCTTTGAGCAGTCCATGCTCCAAAAGGTCTACTTGACAATTTTACTATAAATACACATAATCGGTAGACTCAAGGTATGATAATGCAACAGCATTCATCAATGACAGGTAACAGTCTATGACATTTGATTTACATTCAAGACTGTGCGCAGGTGTAGCCAGAGGTATGGCTCAGTTTTTTTTTAATAATCTTGTTTGGCCTTGGCAGTGAGTTCCGTGGATCACAGTGCACCATACATAGTTGATAAAAGTTAATTTCATTTTCATAACATTACCGCAAGCCATCTACAAGTGAGCACTCAGTTTTGCACCGACATCGCTCCTCAAAGCAGTTAAGTAGCAGAAAACTGCAGGTAAGTGTCTCAATTTATGTATATGACAAATGCAAGTGACAAATCATATATGACAAATCACAGTGTGAATGTCAGAAAGTAATGAAACGTAATTCGGTTTCTTATTATAATAACTTCATAACTAATATTAAGCTTATATTAAATGACAGAATTTAAAATAAATTACAAGACGCATTCATGTAATATTGTAAATTTTGGGAAAGCTTCGTTAGTTAATGAGGCTTTAAATCACCTAATATCACTTGCATACCCAAAAAGTTTACATCAACTTAACGAGTAACGAATACTCGTTTTTGTTAACCTTATTTGTACTTTGTGAATGATAGCTTTGAATATCATACGGTAATTATTTCCGAGCAATGTAAGACGTAAGTAATTTGTTGAATATCCCATATCTTTAAAATTATATTGAAACGCTTTATAGATAGTGGACACACCTAAATCAAAGCGCAAGTGTGTAAAGGATTGTTTCCTCTGAAAATCGACAATACTTTATTACATGGATCCAGCAAAAAATGTTTTATTTACAATAACCGACACCAAAAATGTCAATCGAAAAGTAATTTTTTATAGCGACTTCCTAACAAGCATTTTAATTGGTTTTTCTTCGAACCTACTGAATATAGTTTATGGTTTTATGTAAATGAAACAGGCAGAAACATCAAAATTCCAGTCGATCTAGTTATTCCCGTCCGTCTGTACGTTAGTCTATATGCTTAAACGCAAGGATCTTAGAACCTATAAGAGCTAGAGACTTAAAGTTGAACATAGATTCTGCTAGTGCCCACGCAATACGAGTTTGCTTCCGATAATAAAAAAAATAAACCCCGTTTCCAGTCAATTGATAAAAATGTATATAAAATCTTCCATTTTTTGAGCAAATCTCGTAAGTTTTAAAAGCTATAGTCACCAAACTTGATGTGTAGTAGAATAGTATTTTCTCTAGTTCTTATAGGTTCTGAGATCTTTACGTTCATACATACGGACAACCAGACGGACGGACATGGCTAGATTGACTCGGCTATTGATGCTGATCAAGAATATATATACTTTATGAGGTCGGAGATGTTTCCTTCTGCATGTTACATAAATTTGCATTTTGCACAAATACAATACACCCTTCTTACCCATTTATAATGGGTTCAGGGCTAACAATAAATTGAAGATACTCTTGTTTTTCTTTAAATTTGTATTGATTATCGCTGTAGCAAACGGCTGCATATGGTGTTTGTAGAAAAGGGTTCAGGGGATCTCATTGTCAAGATCACCCGACTGGAACCCCTTACTTGTTTTTATGTTCTTTAGCCGTCTTTATTTAAATTTCACAAGTTCAGCCATTTCATTATAAGAGAGAGATGATGGAAATCGCAATTCCATCAGGCGATAACTTACATGCTAAGAATATATATATATGTAAGAATATATATATATATATATATATATATATATATATATATATATATATATATATATATATATCGATAGTAGCATTAATTAAAGTCAAATATTACATTTCTTCCCCTTCTAAGGGACTGGTGAGAATATCATTCTTGGTTTAATAACTCGAGTCGAGCGATGCACACTTTGTTCTGTTCGACTTGGTACTGACATAAGTACATCTTGATGTGTTGAACTAAGTATTATTTTCAGCTGTCATTTTCATCGGGCTGACTGCCTTGTCTATTGTCGGTCGTTAAATCGTACTCCCTTGGTCTCTGAACTGTTATGTTATAAGCAGGTGAAGAGTTTCTAGTTTTCCTGCTGTGTAGTAAGGCGTATTTTTTTTATTCCTTCCCTGTATGCTTTGTTGTTGTTGTCTTCCCTCCTTCCATCCTGTGCCGCGTATCAGATTGATGTCTCTTATGGTATTTCTTGTTGTGTCGAATTTCAAAATGAAGGTCACCCAAACGACTTACGATCTTTCCTCGTATCCACTTGTTCATTCTGGGGTTTCTAGAAATGAAGTAAACTACATCCTTAATCTCAAATTGGCGCCACGATTGTTTGCATTTTAAAAACTGTTTTGCTGTTACCTTTTCCTTGGTGCTTTCAGGTCTGATCAAATCCAGTCGTGTACGTAATTTTCGACCCAAGAAGAGTTTCGCTGCAGCATCGCCAGCTGTGCTATGCGGAACGTTTCTGTATTGCTGTAAGAATTCGTTCACGTTTCTTTTAAGTGTGTTGGGTGTCGTTCCCATTGCCTTTACCGCACTTTTACATTTCTTTCTGCTTGACCGTTCGTTGCGGGATGATTGGGTGCTGATAGCTTGTGGTATTTGACTCCAACAGATGTGATGTATTGCTTGGATTCGGCCGAGGGGGACAACATATATAGCAAATAAATCATTTATTAATTCGGTGGTTGTTGTTGCCGTAATTGACTTTGTGATCTTAACGTCCAACCACTTTAAGTATGCATCTGTAACAATCAGAAGCATCGCACCTTCAAATCGTCCCGCGAAGTCGATATGAATGAGCTCCCAAGGCGACTTAGGGTATTCCCAATAGTGATTGGAGCATTTTGCAGGTCGATTCGCAATTTTGCACAAAACTCACATGTTATTGCAGCATTCTTGATGTTTTTATCGATTCCTGGCCAGTAGACGAAAGAGCGTGCAATACCCTTAATTTTTACTATATCCAAGTGGTCCTTGTGTAGTTCGTCCAGGATCAGTTTTTGAAGTTTAGTCGGGGTAACCACACGATGTTCTAAAGTAATGCTGATGATATGATATCTCATACTTGCACTTTGGTGGTTTGTATCCATTTTTTGTAAGATATTGGCCGTTCTCCAGTATTTGCAAGATTTTTCTGCTGCCAAACGCCAAATGCTGGTCTTTTCTGGTTTCTCGAGCAACTAGAGAAGCTGTAACTGGAAGCTGATTTATTTGTCGTATAATAAAATTATCGAATTCGTCCCGATAAGCTTTGTTACACGGGTATCATTTCTCGTGTTAATATTTTGGTAATAACTGTTTAATTAACTTGCTTAAAAAATCTGCGTAGTTTGCCATCCTAGAAATTCATAGTGTCAGTAGTGCGAGTGGTTTGTTATCGGTAACTAATGTCCAATTTCTAGTGTATAAATATTTGAAGAATCGTTGTACCACCCATTCAATGGGTAGAGCTTCCTTGTCGATTTGTGTATATCGCTGTTCTATAGGACTCATTGTATGGCTTGCGTATGCAATTGGGCGTTCGCCACCATTTTCCAAACGATGCGATTGTACAGCACTTATACATATTTTGCTGGCGTCCGTTGCTCTAATGGAAGTGTTGGGTCATTAGGCTGTGAAACTAGAATTTATTCGATTCTTTTGTAAGCTAATTCTCTTCTGACTAGTAGGATTGTTGTCCTTTGAGTGTATCGTGCAGCGTTCTTTCTAAAGTTGACAGATTTGGTATGAGCTTTGAGTAGTAAGCTGCTTTCGCAAGAAACAGCTGCAAGTGTTCGTATGCAGATGGTTTCGGTGCTTTTAAGATGCCTCAATATGCTTTGTTGAGTAAGGTATGCCCTCTGCGTCAATCTTGTGTGCCAGAAACTAAACCAAGGATGTGTTCAATTTAAATTCCAGGCTCTGTAATTGTTCTAATATTGCCTATACGGTTCTTAGCAAATCATCAGCATCTTGTGCAAATATTAGAATATTGTTAAAGGAGTTACTTATTTTTCAATGTGGCCTCCATTGTTCTCTGCTAAAATTGCTGATATGTTTGCTGCTCGGTACACTGCACGAGTGGGTCAAATTCTAGCGCCGATCTCTTTGGTTTCGCGTGCACCTTAATGGCTGGTCCTTTGAAGGCTCCTGCTGCAGAGCCAAATATCGAATAAAATTTTGTTAGTATTTGCTCAAGCTGTGCCCTCTTACATGTATTCAGTTCCGCCGCTTGTACTTCTATTGTTTTCACCGCACTTTTTTGTGTCGAAAACATTTTTAGATCTACGTTGTTGGTGTTGACAGAATTGCTTGTAAAGATCCCGGTAAAAGTAATTTCTTCTGAAAATTGGGAGATTCACTCTCGCCCACACAGTATGGCCAGGTTTCCTTCGACGACATACAGATTTAGTTTACGTGTAGTCTTTTCAAAAGTCTCGTTAACTACTACCCGTCCACAGCAGTTGATCCTGTGCCTTATATTGCTCGAAAATTTGTGTTCAGTTTTTCTTTATCGTATTAAAGGTTTAACTTTCCGAAGGGTCTTTTCATTCATTATGCTGCACGGAGCACCCGTGTCCAGATCCATTGGTATTTTTATTCCATCAATCTACATTGTTATGATTTTACTACCTACTGACTTGATGGCGTTGATATTAGATTGTTGTATAAATTGTATTTCTTCCGGGGCGTCTGAAGTTGTTGACTCGGTGATCGGTATCGTATTGGCTTTAAATGCCTTACTTATATGCCCTACTTTACCACACACGTAGCATTTTTCGTTTTTGATTTTGCAATCTGTGCGCAAGTGTTGGCCTCCACATCCGTGGCATTTACTTCCCTATTTCACTCTGCTTGCCGGCTTCCTCCCGATTGTCGAGAAGCCCAGTTTGCATGTAGGCTCTGTATCTGCAGCTTGGTTGTCATTAACCGTGTTTTTTGATCGTTTGCCATCGAAGTGATTAATTAGCACTTTCTTAATCTAGCGGAATTATAGTGTCTGGGGTTGCCCCGGACTTATCAGAATATGTAGCGTTGAATTCAGTTCAGCTCCCATATGCAGCCTTGCATAATGGTGGTGGTCAGCATCAGGAAATATACTCAGTTGCAGTACCCATTCAAAGCGTTGGAAGTAGTCTTGCACTGTACAGTCTTCTCCGCCCTTGAAGTTTGGCATTGCAAACGGTGGTACTTTCATAGAGATTGCTGCTTCACATGCATTTTGACCTGCTTATTGCACTGCTGATTGAATGGCGCTAGTCAGTTAACTAATGACATCTCGTAGTTGGTCGTTATTAATGATCATTTTGACCACCTCTTACTTTTATATTCTCAATTCATCTT